ATCAGCATCATCATCATCAGCATCATCATCATCATCATCATCATCATCATCATCGTCATCATCATCGTCATCATCAGCATCCTCATCCTCATCCTCATCCTCATCCTCATCCTCATCCTCATCCTCATCCTCATCTTCATCATCATCATCATCATCATCCTTATCATCATCATCATCATCATCAGCATCATCATCACCATCATCACCACCAGCACCACCACCACCACCCCCACCACCCCCACCACCATCACCACCATCACCACCATCACCACCATCACCACCATCACCACCATCACCACCGTCACCACCATGACCATCACTACCATCATCATCATCATCATCCCCATCATGATCACGTTCCCCATCATCAGCATCATCAACATCATCATCATCAGCATCATCATCACCATCATCACCACCATCACCACCCCCATCACCATCACCACCATCACCACCATCACCACCATCACCACCATCACCACCGTCACCACCATCACTACCATCACCACCATCACCACCATCACCACCATCACCACCGTCACCACCATGACCATCACTACCATCATCATCATCATCCCCATCATGATCACGTTCCTCACCATCAGCATCATCAGCAGCATCATCATCATCATCATCACCACCATCACCATCACCATCATCACCACCACCATCATCACCGTCATCATCATCATCATCATCATCATCATCCCCGTCATCATTATCGTCATCATCACCATCAGCATCATCATCATCGTCATCGTCATCACTAGCATCACCATCATCATTATCATCAAGTCATCATCACCATCATCATAATCATCACCACCAGTAACCATCAGCATCGTTATCTTCATCATCATCATCATCATCATCATCAGCATCATCATCATCTGCTTCAGCATTAGCAATCTCACCATCATCAAGTCATCATCACCATCATCATCACCATCATTCCCACCTCGAATGTGGTAAGGACAATAAGCCCGATTGCAGCACGAGTCAGTGGTGCAACTGCAGTATTTCCGTTGCGCTTTAGGCTGTACTGTTCAATCTTGTATCGGCCACGACATAGCGCATCTGCAGTGAACTGCATTGCATTGTGGCAGATTACGGGCTCCTCGCGATTAACGTCGTCAGCATGAAGGGCATCACCATTAAGAATCAACTCAACCAGCGTCATGACCACACCACCACCACCACCACCACCACCACTACCGCCGCCACCGCCACCGCCACCGCTACCGCCACCTCTGCCGCCGCCGCCACTGCCGCCGGCAGCGACAGCGGCAGCGGCCATCGTCATCGTCATTATCGTCGTCATCGTCGACATCGCCATCATCGTCAATATCATCATTCGCTTGCTGGTCGCCGTCGCCTGACCACATACATGTCTCCACCACAAGCGCCGTCACTCCATCGTCCTCATCATCGTGGTCATGATCATAACCACGGTCATGACAATGTTGATGATAATGATCATCATCATCATCATCACCACCATCGCCGTCACCGTCACCGTCACCACCATCACCATCACCCTCACCATCACCATCACCATCGCCATCACCATCACCATCACCATCACCAGCAACATCATCATGACCATCTTCATCATCGTCGTCATCATCGTCGCCATCGTCATCCTCATCATCGTCCTCACCCTGACCCTCCTCCTCCTCCTCATCACCGTCATCGTCATCATCATCGTCATCGTCATCATCATCAGCATCAGCATCAGCATCAGCATCAACACCACCATAGCAGCACCTTCGCCATGCTTCGCCGCAACCACTGGCATCATCAACGCCATCAGCAGCGTCATAGTCGTTGTGAAGACCATGAACATATTCTTCGTCACCATCGCCATCATCATCGGTAGTTTCGCCATCCTCTGCATTGTTTTCCGCAGTCTACATTATGGATGAGGCCAGCTTTTCCCGACGACAAGCAACTGTTGGTGCAAACGATGTAGTGGTGTAGTGTTGATACAGTTGCGGAAAAACGAGGCCGCTCGTCCCCACTTCGAGAGCACTGCAGCTGAGAATCACTGGCTCCGCCGTGAGGCCTGTGGCAAGCGTCCGGACATTGACTGATAAGAGTTTACTAAGCCGCATGGCAACAAGCGCTTTGGGCGTTTTCTGATCCATGAGCATCTTGTGTAGGGGAGTGCTGTCCCGACTTGACCGAATAAAGTAGCTAAGCGGAGCCACAGAGGTGACGTCGAAGCTCCTCCATGCCTGGCTCGCCGCGGAGGGCACCAGTATGGCATCGACTAGGTGCAATTCGTCAGTTCCTGTCTGTTCGAAGGATTTCAACATCAGGCTTTCGATTCAATTTCTGAGCAGCCGTGAGACCTCGGAGTTCTTGCAGTCAAGAGACTCCTCCTCAAATGCCGAGTCGAAATAGGGAACTTAAGGCCACAAACCTCCCGAACGGTCTGAGCTGCTCGTGGTCGACTCCAGGGCTCCCACTCCGGCGAATTCGACTCCGGGGTCGGCCGGATCCTCGCAGGCGCAGCGCAGCGCAGCCAATGAGAGACGTGGATTCTTGGGAAGGCTTTGGAAACCTTATGGCCGCATATGCCCTGCCCGGGAGGACAAGCAGATCCCGTCATCGGTGCCCTCCGAGACAAACTCTGAGGTCCGCTGAGAGGCGTTCTTGCCAGCATTGACGCCGCTCTGGATGCGACAAATTGTTTCTCGGCGAGGCGAATTTGCCTGCCATCGTGTAGGGAATGCTGGCTTGAACTGCAGTGGATTACCCAATCTGCAGAATGCTGTAGAAGCAGGACACGCCAGTGGTAGCTTGCATGACACACTGACACACAGTGGAATTCGACCATACGGTGTTAATGTGCAGCTTGACGTCTTTTGCGCGAAGCTTGGCATTCAAATGCATCTGACTCCAAAGTTGTTTCAATGGTCTCGGCTTGAAAGGTTCCGTGATTGGGGGGGTCTGCGGCACTGCGTGCTTTCTGACCGGCAGCTCTCTGCCAAAACGCCTAAGGTCCCATCATTGGGCGAGTCACGGACACCACAGCATCGTTTCTGGTTGAGGCTTGGGATCTTCGGCTTGAAGCAGCCGTGTACTTCACCAGATGAACCTGGAGCATGTGAGTTCTGCAGCATGATGCATAATGATGCCAGGTGGCCGAAGAAATTGACATCAACATCAATGTCGTGCAGGTGGGGGCGCCAGCCTTCGGCACTTTTGCAGGGCATGTGGCATGACACCTGGGCATATTTCTCTCTTTTTGACACTGTGTTGCACGTTGCGGCACAATATCATCCTATGCGCCTGTATTTACAGTATCGCAGACCATTGCATAGTTGGTTATCTTTGAGCCTGTCTGTCAATCTGTAGTCCTCCATCAAGATCCAGGGCTTAAGTCGAAACAAAGGTATATGGCTACATGGATCAGCACACCCACGAGCTGACACTGATGGGAACCCAGAAGGCAACTCGCATCCCTGCACCGATCTCTGAGACCACCCACGCTCAGCCGCAGGAATGGCTTCATCAGCCTCCGCTGGTCTCCCTGGAGCAAGCCACCCAGTGGTGAACGCTTCGGGAGCTCCGATTGGCCTGAGCCAAGGCTGAAACGGACCTGGTTTTCTCAGGGCATGGCGGTCTGCACGGCGCAAAGGCCAGAGCCGGCCGCCGACCCACGTCGACGCGCCCCCGCACGCGCCGTGCGTGCGCGGTGTCCGACCAGGGTACGCCCTGGATCGCCCGTGACCTTCCAGCTCCAAAAGCTGGAGCCGGAGACCCCGTGCCTCGCACGGACTTGCCGATGACACTCTCTGACACTGAAACGAGAGTGGAGCAGGTACATGGTCTTCATCAGCAACGTCCCGGAGGTGATCCAAGTCTGTGAGCCGTTGCCTTTCCCATGCCCCGACTCGCCCCGGCCAGGCCGAGCTTTTGACACCCCTCCGCTTTCGCACCATGCCGGCACGACGCTGGTCCGCAGTGCTGGCGGGAGTAGTTGCAGCCTGTAAGATAGCTCCGGGACCCACGAACACATCAGATGCTCAGGAGTGGAATCACTTCGGCTCGTCGGGCACCTACAAACAGCTCAGAATCTCACGTGGCATGAAGATCTTTTTATTTCTATCTGAGCTTCAAGGTGGTCATTGGAGACTATGCAGCATCGAACAAGTCCACTGCGCCACTGGATGAGTGTACCTCAGCGGGTCAGGTCGTGGTTAAGCAATTCCGAGAAGTAGTGCATTTCCAACCCTTAGTTTCATCGACCAAGGATGAGAACAACTCAGATCCGTGGCAGCACCTGCACCACATGGTTTCAAGGGGTGCCGAGGCAGGCACCTTAGGCGCCTAGGCCTTCGGCGAGTCCTTCGTCCGAGCTGTGCTTTAAGAGGTGTCCTGACAGAGGTGCAGGTGGGCCTTCATGTTGGCCGCACCTTTGCTGCGCAGATGTATGAGCAGGAGCGAAGTCTCTTTTTAGACCCGTGACATGCCATGAACCCATGCTTCTACGCTGATGCGCTTGCGGTCTGGGTGCTCAGATTCGCAGCAGCTTGGTCGAGCATCAGAGCTTCTGTGAGGTGCGGTGCATTGTGCTGAGTTCCTGTGGCGGGGCAGCGCAAGCGGAGTCGTCGCCAGGGGCCGAAGCAGGCGATGCTTCGAGAGGCCCGTGCCAGGCTTCGGGAGGCGTACCGCACCACGTTCCTGGCTCGGCTCTTCCATGTTTCAATGAAGAAGCGGCCGAAGCTCGCTTCGAGGTTGGGGGGAAACGAGCATTTCCGCAAGTTGCTGTGTGAGGTGCAGATCTTTGCATTCAGTTTTGCACGATCTGCTGTGGTCTGGGAGCTGAGATCTGCAGCAACATCAGCGTGTTCATTCCGCCGCTTGACCTACAGCACGGATGCTCAGACTGGAGGCTGACGTTTCGTGGCCAATCGTTTTGTGCACTGCCAACTCGTGCCATTCGTGCCCAAGGACGCTCCTGAACAAGACGGACGACTTACAGGCAGTTTATCCCACAGTTGCTCGCAAAGCATCCATGTGGGGTTGCCGCTGTTGCAGTGTGAGGGCACACGTCTCAGATGCATTTCGATTTGTCATCAAGGGGGCACAACTCGGGATTGAGGTCTGGCGCGACAAGTTCGATCGTCTCGTCGAGGTTCTGTAAAGGAGAAGTCTTTGTCCTGTCTTGGTAAAAAGATCGCCGCAGCCTGCCGGCTCCAACTTTCTTTCCACCCACCCCGGTGACCCTCTTTTGCCTTCGGGGCATGATGACTTTGAAAGGATAGTTTGCCGTGCAGCTCGCGCTCGCGAAAATCTCCTGTGCCTTTGGCCGGTTGCAAGAAATCATTACAGTTTCTGGACGAACGATCTGTGATGTGGATCTCGAGCCCGAATTCGTGTTGCTCGGCCTCGATCGTCTCCATCGAAGTTCGCATGGCTTTCTTGTGCATTCTCATCGAGAGTCCTGGCCCCCATCAACAGAGTCGTGCTGCTCCGTCGCGACGACTGAGAGTTGCTTTCGACAGATTGGGAAGTTGTCACTTGTCGAAGATTGTTCATGGAGTCGCCTGAAGCTGTCATTGCAGCAAGCGTGTTGAAGTGGATGCAATCGGTGGAGGCAAAGCCGGAGTTCAGTGCCAGTGCGGAACCCAGACGTTGCTGGAATGAAGGAAGCAGGCAGTACAACCTGCCTTCAAAGCATTTTACAAATCATCTGCTCATGGACTAGTCCATAGAATTTGGGCTTGTGTGCACTCCACCCGAAATACACTGACTCGGTACGAGGCAACGAGGAGAACAGTCGAGTCCCGCAAAGTTTGGAGAGTGAGCTTGCGACAGTAGGAGTACTTGCACATCCCTCCACTGGAGTGTGTTACAGATTTCCGTGGTTTACGTAGACATGGCCGGTAGGTTTCATTGGGCACATTCCTTCGAAGACCCCTTGCTGCATGCTTGAGAAGCAGGTCTGCAGCTGGGCGACATACAAGAGCTGCTGTGCCTGTCACTCGAGGTTAGCCGATGCCCAGAACCCGACAGAAAGAGCTACTGGTGTCAGCTTTCTGGACAGAGCTTAAGCCCGTGGCTAGAGGTTGAAAGTGGTCTGTCGAAGTCATGTTGCACGGTTCACGCGAGCGGAAAGAGGGTGGTGCATCTTTGCCAGCACTCGTGTCAGGTGTACCGTGAGTACCAGCGTGCCATGTGGGCAGCGGCCTTGATTGGCCGTCTCTTCTCAGGGTTTTTTACATTGCCTATGAAAGCCCGGGGAAAGGACGGCAGCTGGCACTACGGCTTGGATGTGCGCCAGCTGGGCAAGGGTTGGCATCAGGAGCCGGTATCCTGGCAAGAAGGGGAGTCTTCGGGATGTCGTTGAACATGTGGGGACAGGGTTGGGATGACACAGGGTTGCAGGATTGCAGCCAGAAGCCAGGGCCCTCGATTTGGGCTCTGTGGACCTGATGTACTGACCTTAAGTTTTGAGGTGCCCGACGCAGACGTCGAAAATGAGGCCCGTTGCCGTGCTGGACGGAAACAGACAAGGGCCTGCGGACAGCTCCTCGAAAGTGCTACAGGAAATCTCGAACCGCCCGAAAAGAAGTCATGGCTGGCACACCCTGTTAAAAGGAGAGGACAGCTTTTAATCGCGGTCGAATCCAGAGTTTGACACCCCAGCCCGTCGAAGCATCCACTCGAAATCCCTGAAATTGTCCAAGAACTGAAACCATAAACGGACTAAGACCCTGTGTGTTTGCATTCTTCCGCGAACCATCCTGAAACTCTTGTGGGAAGCCCTACAGCCTGACGTGAAGCCCTGCACCGGGCCAGGAAGTGGACGCCTCCACACTGGAGCCCATAGCCTGGAGATCCGCCAGAGGCACAGAGATTGCATGCTCAGGGGCAGTTCCATTGCAGGTTCCTGGTCGAGGCGGGCAAGGCTTCCTCGGACTCCGTCGAGGCTGATCGTTGGTGTGTGCATGCCCATACGTACGATTAGATGGTATCCGATCCGGCTGCATATGCATGTTCGGGCAGGTGCACTCACTCACAGCCTACGTTTGTCTTATGTGTGACCCCATAAATGAAGGCACCACACCTTTTCCCTTCGTGGGTCTCTTGATGTCAGAACCGAGGCATTTCAGGTCCCTCATAATACAAGCTTGTTTTCGGATCCATGGAAAGGGTTGCTTGGCGAGCGTGGTATCCCGCCCTTCATCTGCACTTCGGGTTTCGGCGTTCGAGGTCCAGGTATGGCGGCAGAAGCTAGAAAAGACTCGCGGCAGGGCGACTCCCGAAACCTAGCAGGTGACCTTGCGAGCCATAGTCACCAAAGCCAGCTCTTTGGAGCTTGCGGGAGTTGTCGTTTACGAACTTCGTCTCTAGTGTTCAGGTGAGTCAACAAGCGACCCCGGGCCGTAAGTGGTATGATCATCAATTAGTTAACGGGCTGCCGGGCGGCTAGGAGTTCCCCCGCTCTCCTGTAAGATTGATGTTAGCAATCTTTAGGTGTCCCCCCCTCCTTTCCGCCATTAAGGTTTGCATCAATTGATTTATGGGGAAAGCTCTAAGGGGGTTGGTCCCAAAGTGAGAAGCCGGCCCCCCCTTGCAACATCATGTGGGATTGTGTGCGCTCCACCTCTGCATAGCAGCGAGCAACACCTGCTTTTGTCTCCTTCTGCCTACATAGATGTAGTGCGAGCCAAACATGGTCAGATCTAGTGGCCAGGCTCGTGATATCCAATCCGAACAAATCGAAATCCCCCTAGGCTCTAGACGACTTGACCCCAGGAGTGGCATATCCATCGATATGGCCTCATCAGCATCTTGGTGTTGGACACGAAAGGCACGTTTTTTGACTTGAGGCTTTGAGCGGTGCTTGCGGTGTTTCAACGCAAACGGAGGCAACGCCATGACTGCAGCGAGGGGCTCGGAAGGTTCTTGGAGTCCTGTCGTGCAACTGATCCTAGTCGCACAAGCCTGCACAAGCAAAACGCCTCAACGAAGCCCTAAGATGAGGCGCTGACAAGCACTCAGCTCTGGCACTCAGCTTCCCATGATTGGGCATGCCACTGCAGCGTTGGCCTCTTCTCTCGTCTTGAACATCCTGCCTTGTGCGCTCAATGGTGCGAGGCCAAGCAGCGTTCTGTCTCAACGCCAGTGGGCTGCAGTGGACGAGGCTGGGCGATATGTCATTCGAGTGGGTGGGTCGGGTGGACTTGGTCAGAGAGCTGGGTCTTTGGTTCCATGCTAAGGAGTTCGTGGAAAAGACTCGTGGCTCAAGAGCGTTCAAGTCCCCGGCCGCCTTTGCCATCGGAAGTTTCCTCCTCACAGGTGTTGGCCGACGAGGCCGTACAGGTGCTCCTTCTGGTCGCAGACTCACCGCTGGCGCTGGAGGAGTGATTGGCTCTGTGGGTTGAAGCTTCGGAGACATGGGATGCTCCACAGAGCGTCGAGGTGAGAGGCAGGAGACCCGAAGTGCAGTGGAGAGTCTCAGCGTCCGCCGAAACTATCGGATTGGAGCGACTCGCACTCGCCCTCCGAAATGCAGCCACTCCCAAGCCTTACTCGACTACAAGTTTTCATGACGAAACTTTCTCCAACTTGAGTCTCTAGAGGTGCAGGATGCCTCTTCAGGGTCAGCTGCACTGGGGCCAGCTGTCCGAACAAGCGCCTGCGAGGAGGATTCTTCTCGACGCTCGCCGGGGCCTGTGTTTTCGGCTGTCGCTTCAGCTCAAGCATTGTTTTGCTGCTTATCCTACTTCCTGCTAGTTGGTGGAAGAACGATGTGAATCGGGGAGCATGCCCAGCACGATTCGCATGATCAAGGCACTTGCACGCAGCTACGACCTTCCTTTGACCACTTGAGCAGAGAGTAACATCTGTTTTCTCGTTTCTGTTTCTACATAGCGGCTTCTACCTCTCATCTGCCACATAAATCGAAGTGTTGCGAAGCTGTCTACCGAGGCCTGTCCATGCTCGTTGCAGTTAGTGAATCAGAAGTAAAGCACTGCAGCTGCCTTGGCAAGCGCCCGTGCCGCCAATTCAGCATACCACTTGTTATGACACAATCGCTTGATGTTGTACCGCCATGGCGCGACTGGTTCCAGTACTCCTTCCAGCCTGTGCCCTTTGTGACTTAGCGTTGCCAGGTGAGTGAGCAAGAATGCGGGGATTCCCCCCGAACATGTTTGGGTTGTGGAAAGCCACTCGTGCTTGTGGCGCTGACAGCCCTTTCGCACTTCAAGACCTTGCGCAGGTACCGCAGTGGGATCCGTGCATCCCAAAATGTTGGACCGTCGCTGCTTCCATGCTACATGTCATCGATTGTCATCGAGAATAGCCCCGCCAATATGTTATCGCACGTTCTGCCTGGAGGACCGGCGGCTGGAAGAGGCGGTGGACCATAATTCGGACAGCTGGTTGTCCGTGGAGGCTCTGGCCCACAGCATTGTGCCGGAGGCCTGGCAGCTCTTGCACGCATCTGTGTGCGATCTCTTTTTGCACCTGGAGAGCAGGAGCTAGTGAAAGAGATCCTCTTCGACAGTGTGATGCAGGTGCTTCGAGTGGTTTCGGCCCAGTGCTTGTGCCGTCCGATATACCAAGGAGGACTACCGGCACCTGATGCCAGGCCTTGACCTAAACTCGAAGGACAGAAGGGGCTTTCCGGACGAACTGTTCGGGTCCAGAGTCCAGAGCCTCGCAGGGCAAACTATTCAGAATCCAACCCTTGATTCCCGTGGTTGACTCTGCTTGACTTGGCTCGCTTTCTGGAAGCACCTTCATGGCCGCAGCAAACTCTTCTTGGAATGGAAAGATGTTGTCGAGCGGGCAGTTCCTGCAGAGAAATCTAGGTTTTCCGGAGCTTTGCAACCCAGTCATGGTTTAGAAGTTGTCGCACTGCAGTGACAGCAGGACATGACGGCCCAGATGCTGTCATGGCAAACTCCCTCCTTGGCTTGGGGGCAGAGGCTTCCCGGGGAGGTTCGGGACCACATGGAGGCCAGAAAAGTCGCAGTCGGAAGTCCTTAAGCCTTGGTTCCCCTTCGCTTCTTCTTCAGGCCGTCCAGCGTCGGGCCTGCGAAAAGTGCGCTTCGCCCGGCTGCTGCGAGCCGCAACGGTGGCCCGGGCCCCGTGAAGATTGGGGTTTAGGTGCCTCGGGCTTGTGGCGTGGTGGGCGTGGGGAGGCCTCGGGGTTGGGCCCTGGGCAGGCCTCATAGGATCTAAGATGTCCCCTAGGCCAAACTACCCTTTCAATGCCGGCCCTTTGATCCTGAGGTGCTGGTGGCTGCACGAGCGGCTGCCCAAGTTCGTGCTGGTGTTGATGCTGTTGGCGCCTGCCTAGATTGCAGGCGGCTGACCAAGCTGATTGATGAGACGGGCAAGCTTCCCGGGCTGCATTCAAGCTACTTCTAATTGGGCCGAGCATCGCAAAGACTGGAATGCCTGCACACCTCAAAATTTGACACATCATCTTAAGAAACGAAGTCCTAGATCGTAAACGTCGTTCCTGTGAGTCGTTATTGTGAGTGGGCACGAGGCCATTTTCGGAGTGCTGCAGCATTGAATACGCACTTCATAGGGTTCAGAGATTCCGGCCAAGCTCACGGTTTATCTTCAGGAAACTTTAGCTTCCATCCTTCGACATCACAGTCGCCATGATGCCGCAAGGCAGGTGAATCTCTACTACGACCTTCAAAATCGCAAGTATGAGAAGCTGCAGGCTGCCTCAGGAGCAGAGCAGCGCCTCAGAGTAGTCCTTGACTCTGACCTCGCAGGATGCCGCCTTTTTCTGGGGCTCGCCGATGTTGCTGCCTCCCTTCCTGGCTGCGCTGCGGATCCACGAGGCACGAGGTCTGCGTCTTGGCCTCCGAAGCCTCGGCTTCGGCACTTCGGCCGAGGATGTCAGCCGCTTCCTGGCCTTCCTCTTCAGCCGCCACGCCTCCAGTCCCACGCTGCATCGCTGCCTGGACACCAAGTGCCTTGCATGCCTTTGGAGATCCTCTGGAGCCTGTGGGTCTCTGCTCTTTTCCTGCTTCCATGTCAGAGGTGGGGAGCTGTACTTCGAAGTGGCTACGTTACCATGGTGGAGAACCAAGAGGCCCGGTCCAAAACCTCGGCCCACAAGAATCTAGGACCTCACTCAGCAGAAATGCACAGGAGCTCAGCAAGCAAGTTGCCAAGGCTTTCGTCTGAGAAAGTTGTCGCACCACTCGCATCCATGCCTTGTGACCGGAAGATCTTCTGGGAAATTGGTGCCACGTCCCGTTTCACGAATTTTCGTCGGGGGACCCGGCAGGAAAAAGGTCAGCTTGAAGTTACGCATGCCTGACGAGCGGGGATGTTCTGGCTGCAAGGCTGGATCACAACGAGCGAGCAGATGATGCCAGTGAGAGAAGGCCGGACACAATGAGCTGGCACACAGAGTCCTCATGCACGAAGTCAGCTCAGGCTGGCAGCTGATCTTTAACGGATTCATCGCCATGAGAAGGACGAGCCTCCAGAGTCGCCCAACCTGGCTCTGCTTCTGGAATCTTCTGATGTCAGGAGCCTTGGCTTCCTTCGCCTGACGCGACATCGTTTGGGTCTGTTGAGGCGCTCCAAGCGCTGCACGTGTCTGCTCTTGAGATGCGGTGAACAGAGCAGGCCTCAACACGTGGACTCCGACTCGGACCATTTGCTCCCCAAGGCAGGGCAGGGGGCTGTGGGGCTCTGCCTTTCTTTTCTCTTCGCTCCTTTGGTCGCAAGCTTTTCGGACTCTTTCAGGAGGGGGGCGAGTACGACACCTGGGAGCTGAGACGCAGCCTCTTCCAGGCAGCCATGGGCAGCCCGCTTTGGCGTTTGGGGCTCTGATAGCGGACATGGTCGAATCGTCAGGATGACAGGAAATTCACAGACAAGATGGTGCTGCGCTTCCTCATTCGCAAGGTCTTCGTTGCGGTGACGGGCTGAGGCCCGCAGGCGATGCTAGAAGTCGCCTGAGATGGAAGCCTCGTCTTGAGGACGACACCGTTGGAGACTTCGGCGCTTTCAAGGCTGGTCATGGCTTACCCTGCGTGTGTATGAATTCGGACCTCACGCCAGGGCTCATATGCTGCCTGGCTGAACGACACGGGTCTCGTCCAGGCGGGCTGCACGGGCTGTCTCTGCATCTTGGTGTCAAGGGGCATGAAAAATCATGCGAGGTGATGGCTTATGATGGCATCGCCAATGCCATCGCCCCGGCAAGCATCGGAGAACAGTTTCAAGCCAGGTTTGTGCATCACGAGGTGACATCCGTGACGGGTGGCATAGTACAACATCAAAATCTAGGCTGGGCAGCGATTACAGCTTGGTGTCGGAGAGCATGCACATATGTCGTTCGAAAGAAGTGCGCCCGCAGACCCGCATTGTGAGGACAGCCCTTCGATCTTGGCAGACGCTTTGACTGGGTCATGTCTCTGGAGGCCTTTTGCAGCACAGATTGGTGGAGTAAACGATTTTCTTCCGCCTCTTTCCCGCAGCCCCTGAGACAGGTTGGAGAACACCTTCCCTCCACAGCGGCCTCCACCTTCTTGAGCAACATCCGGCGACATGCTGTCAAAGGCGGGGTGAACTTTGGATCAGAGATGCGCGGGTGGTTTAGAATTTTCTAGGCGATGATGCGTATGAAAGCGCTTGTGACAGGTGCAGTTATCAGCTGGGGAACCCCTGACTTTCCATCGGTGCATCACCCGAATCTGCTCACGGAGGCTGCTGGTGTCGGTGATCGCTCAGAGTAGCTGAACGATTGGTCGTGCTACAAGCAGGAGGAGTCGACGCGCTTGATTGAGCGCCACGGGTTCCAGCAGCAGAAGGCAGGGAGCTCGGCTCGGCAAAGGCCCGTTGGCTCCCGGCTCGTCGGCTGGTCTCAGGACCTGACCCGGCAGCTGCGTTCTGCGGCCGAGCTGCGTGGCACTCAGCGAGCCTTGCGCAGTTCGCAAAGCTAGAAGTCGCGTCTTTCCGAGACCTTTGCGGGGTTTCAGTTCCAAGTGACCCAAGCCTCCTTTGCCTGGCCGCTTCTCAGGGAGTGGCTGAAACAGACCATTGCGGTGTACCACACCAAAGCCTGGTCAGATGACGAGCGCCAGGACTCGATTCCGAAGAAAATGAATCGCTGGCTTTTGGTTGCTTCCGAGAACTGAGAACAGCGCAGAACTCGCAACTCCGACTGGTGCGAGAGACAGCCTTTGTGAGGTCTTCGTCGAACCCGATGATCCTCAGCTGGCGTGACAGCCGGCAGGAGCAGTCCAGGCCTTCCGAGCGGGGGTTGCCCCGTCTCAGAAGCTGACCTGCCCCTTGATGCCAGTCTGCTTCAGAAGCTCTTCCAGTGGAAGTTGTCGCAGTGCTCCGGCGTGGTTCCAGAAAAATGCTCGTTGACTCATTACTTTCGGGACAGTTCAGTTTCGGCGCGCTTCGCTAAATCTCTAAAGTTGCTTTAAATCCACTGACAAGGAGTTAGCCTCTGGGCACTTGGGCGCTTGTGATCTGTGCCGAGCATAACTAGGGCTCTGACGGGATCTGCGTGGAAAGTGAAGGGCTGGAATCTTCGTTGGCCCGGTGCTGATGGGCATCATGAGCATCATTCGGACAAATCGCGTTCCACCTCCCTCACCTTCCCCTTGCCGGACAAGTGGGAAACTGCGCCCGGCGACCAGAAGCGGCCATGGAACAGGCAACGATCGGCCATGCATGATGCTGTCGGGGACAAGCAGTTCCTTCACCAAAAAGCAAGCTGAAAAGTAGTGGTGTGGCGGTGGTTGTTCCAAGGAGGACATCGAAGTGGACATCGAACATATGTAACAACGCTTCATTTAGTACTTCTGCACAAGAGACCGGATGGGAAGTGGGTTACACTTAATTGCGAGGCCAGGTCCTGAAATTCACCAGCGGAGTCTGCACAATAGCAAGTTAAACCTGTGGTTTTCAGGTACCCTTGCCGTGAGGTGATCGTGATCAACGGTGGAGCAGGCTTCAGTGCGGACCCCGGTTTTCTTGGAGAAGCCGGGTCTCACGGGGTCAGGTTCACTCGTTTCGTGGACGAAGAAAGTAACCACAGTTTCGACCTCTCGCTCTTCCTGAGTTTTCCGAATATCCAGTGAGATTTCGCAGAAGTCGTGAAGGATGAGGGTTTCAGACCCAGCTCACTGCTTGCAAGAACGCCAAGCCTCGCCGACTGACGAAGTCTTTCGCTTGGATCGCTTAAGAACACTTCCCCTGGCCCAGCTGCAGGCACGACGGGAGACCTGCGGGACAGCAGGCCAGCTGACCAAGACCGATTGTAGACCGCGTGAAATCTTCCGCATCCATCAGTCCTTGAGGCTTGGCCTCTCCATTCCTGTCATCTTCGCCGGTGTGGCACCCGTCTCAGTGGGTCGCGGATGGTCGCGGAGTTCTCGGAGCTCCTCGAAGAGAGAGACGAAGGTGGAAGGCCAGACTTCCTGTCATGGCTGGCAGCTCACCGGAGAAGTGCCTGGCGGACGCTTCAAGCACCCTACTTGCACGCCGCCCACAAAACCTTGAACTTGCCGTGACCTCAAGTCGCAGGTACAGCTACCGCCAACCGAGTCCCAACAAATGGGGCCTCCACTTTCTCGACATCGACCTCGGCACGTCGCAACGACCAGCGGCACTCGACCCGGCAGACCTTTGTGCAGAAGTGCGTTCAGCCAAGCGACCCCCTTTGAGGTGGACATTTCGCTAGTTACCGGGCGACGGCCTCAGAGCGCTAGGCGAGCTTGGCTGTGACCGCAAAGTGGGGAGCGCCGTTCGGTCCCGAGGCCTCTTCCGCAGCCGCATGCGCCGCGGTCGGCACAGCGAGGGGTTGTCCACGACAAAGACGAGTCTATGCAGCAAGCCGAGATCGAATAGGATCGGCGGAGGCAGACGGCCCTCGACCCAATGCCCAGGCCCTACTGAGGGCCCATGGCCTGAACGTATGTGAGTGGAGTTCTTTTGGGAGCGTTGCCCGACGAGCGCTCAGTGGGCTTGCTCCCGTGTACACACGAGGCAACCTGATGCCCCAAAGATTGGGGCGCCAGGTCTGCTCAGTTAATGAGCGTCTTGCGGCCAATGCTGTCGCGGCAACGAAGAAAACGCTCAAGCATTGCAGTCTTATGCCTCGCAGCATGTCGGTGGCCGGCAGCTTGATCCCCATGTAATCCAAGTGTTGCTGCGACCTGGATCGAAGAGATACAGTTCTTGTAGTATCGTGATTTCCGCCTCATGTTCAGCACATCTGTGAATCTCAATGTGTTGAGAAGGCTGTTGCTGACTCACCCCGTCGCTGAGTGCTAGCAAGGTGCAGAGCCCACCCGTGCCCACCCATGCAGCTTCACACGCCATGTTTTGCTCTGCTGGCTGTGCGCCACCGAAACGCTCCTCACTCAGGCAACCGCTCCCCGCACATGTTCAGATTCGGATTTCCCGAGCAGACATGGTTTGCAAAGACCGCTTTCGTCCTGGTTTCAAGATTCTGGAAAGGTTCATGTCGAAGGTGCATGCCGATCTGGGCCAATGTGTTTTGCCGTTGCTGTTTCCCGATTTCTGAGCAGGGAGCCCTTGCGCGGCCCGGCGGGCTGTTCTGTCACTCTGCTGCACAATGATCTTGCTGGGCTGTCTACTGCCTGTCTTCCGGCGATAGCCCAGGAGACCGCGCTCAGCGATTCTCTCCAGTCGATCCGGCTGCGACTGGAAGTGCCTCGGACAAGGGAACCACGGTTTGCGCTCACGCTCCAGATGATGTCCCCAGCACAGGCAGTAGCCTTCGGGCACCGGCACAAGCGTATTGACGTGCCAGCCCTTGTCGAAGAGGTGCCTTGCTATTGTTCATGCCGTGCTTTCATGCGCCATCTATCATCCTACCTGTCCTGTCTTGTTTTGTAGAACTCCCTACTGCCTCCATTACCAGTGGAAGTCGTGTGCACTACCAGCTCCTCCCTCGTATTTGGAGTTGTCCGGTCTAGAGAAGCAGCCTCTCCTCGTCTGGGATATCGTCGTCTTGTGCACGCTGCCAGATTCGGAGAGCCACTGCATCTCTGGTCTGGTGCGAAACCAACGATGACTCCTTGTTCAGCCTGTTCTGCGAGCACGCCATGCTTCCAGGAGACTTACTACATATTAAGAGTGATGCTGCAGATTTTTGTCATCTTGATTCTGCACTTCTGGGAGCTGCAAGGGCTTGTTCGAATGCTCAGCAGCAAAAGGAAGGCATAGGAAACACATCCCGAGACATGGCAAACGGTGGACCCGCAGGATTTGTTGCCGCACTTCGAGCAGAGGCCGTCCCTGTGGTTGTGCCTCGGAGAAAAAGTCAGGCAGGATTTGCCTTGATTCACCGTGATCGCTAGGTTCAGGTTGTGTGCCCATTGCGTGGTGTGACCTAGCTGTAGGGGCACAGCTGAGGTCAAGCTGCAGATCTTACAGTCCCTGTCTATACTGGTGCAGAATGCCCAGCGCGACTCCTGGCTGAATTGAGGGCTGGAGCATGTTGTGTTTGTCATAGCATGGGTTGACTTGACATTGTAGCGACACTCGGTTTAGTCAGGACACTTCTCTGATCTACTTGCTGTCCCAGGTTCGGGGTAAGCTTGCTCTTTTGCATGTTTGAGGGAGCGCCCTGCTGATTTATCAGTGTGGATTGCAATTCCTCCACATGGGGTTGGCGGAGAGCCTGGCTGCCAGGGCATGCTGAATGACTTCTTCGATGACCCGCCGGCTCATCCCTTAGACTCAGAGAACTGCGCCATTTTATGTGTATCCGTGTTTTCCAGAACATGAATACATACCGGTGTACATATATATCTCATCGATCGCTTAGCTGGACTCTCGCATGCACTTACATGATTCACTGGAACCAAACCTACCGCACAGCTTCATGTGAAAAAACGGACCTTGTCTCTTTCTGGACGACAAGCAAACAGCGAGCCTCAGGGAGTTGACCTACATCTTTTGGGAAGACGAGTGGAGAGCTGGTCAATTAGTGCGAAGGTCTTTATCTGTCGCACAGGAGCTTCCTTGGTCCAGCTTCAGATTCTTTCTTGTCAAAAGAAAACAGCTGGCATGCTTTCATTGTGAGATAGGAAGCTCTCTTCCCGTTCGTAGTGAGAAGTCTTTTCGTGTTTTTATGTTTGCCGAATCAACAGCTCCCCGGTTGTGCCTGGAAAGAAGAGTTCTCCGATGTCCACAGGACCTTTGTTTTGCAGCTTTGAAATTATCCTTCAGAGGGAGATATGCCGTATCCAGAGAGCTACTCTTTCTTTTCTCCGCTGAACACGAAGTAAGAAAGTTCTGTTCTTTGTCAGGCTCCACGCGCAAAACACACGTGCATCCAACAGTTCTGCTGCATGCGATTTGATCACTTGTCTCACTCGCGGTCATCTGCATACTGTAACCAGCTCCAACCCTCTGCGCTGCAGCGCTTGTGGCTCCAGCCAAGACACCAAACTCAACACCAAAGCACCTCCCGAAACCAACAGTACAACCCACACTTTAGAGCACTGGAGCTTTCAAGAGTGTGGTACTGTCCTGCTTCCAAAACTAAAATTTAGGGGCAATGCAGTTTGCAGGAGCCCGGGGACTTCAAAAGTGCTGACTGTTCTTAAATTCTGCTCTTCCAGAGGCCAAATTTTAGGGACAATGCAGCACTTTTTAAGTCCCACAGCCCCAATGTGCTGTGCTGTCCCCAAACATATATATATATATATGCGTATCAGATGTTTCCTAGTTGCTCGTTCGAGATGTTGATATCTTCCCGGTGCCCGTCAGCTGCCACGACCACCACCAACAACTACAGCTACAGCTACAACTACAACTGCAACTACAACTAGAACTACAACTGCAATTACAACTGCATCTGCAACTCAACTAGAACCACACCTAGAACTACAACAACGGCAACAACAACAGCAGCACTACTACTACTACTACTACTACTACTACTATTACTACTACTACTACTACTACTACTACTACTACTACTAATGCTTTTACTACTGCTACTACTGCTACCACTATGACTATCACTACCACTACAACTTCCACTACCACTACCACTACCGCTACCACTTCGACTTCCATTGCCGCTGCTACTGCCACTACCACTACCAACCAATTCCACCACCACCACTACTACTACTACTACTACTACTACTACTACTGCTGCTGCTGCTGCTGCTGCTTCTGCTACTGCTGGCGTGCGACTACCACCACTACTGCTGCTGCTGCTGCTACTATTACTATTACAACAACTACTAATTTTGCTGCAACTCCTCCTACTACTACTACTACCACCACTACAACTGCTGCTACTACTGCTAC